AGGGCGGCGGATCCAGCCGCCTGCGGCAAATCCCGCCACCGTGCCAGCCCAACATTCTGGGTGGCGGCTCTGCGCGGGGGCACCGGAGGCCGTCCCGTGTGACACCTCGTGTCCCCAGGCTCGGGGAAGCGGGAAGGTGTGACACATTCTTCCGCGTCGTGTCGGGGATTCTCTTCTCGTCGTTGTCGTCTTCCTCCCTTTCGTCTATCCTTTCTTGGGCTCCTATGGGCCAGTCTTGGGGTCCCCAGGATCACTTTGGGCCGTCTTGGGGCCCTCTTGGGCTATGTTGGAGCTCTCGTGGGCCGTCGTGGGGCATATGGCAGGGGGAGGTGGACGCGTTGGATCGCGTTGCGAAGGAGAGAAAAGTGGGGGATGCGAAGAGGGGGGACGCAGGCGACACCATGTTGACACTGGCGTTGAGCGGCTGAGTGGGCCGCTGATCAGGGAAGCTTACGAGGCTGGCATCAGCCACAGATCCCTCCTTCCCTGTCCTCTCCTCCTGGCCCCACAGATGGCCGAACAGGGGCCCGTGCAACTCGTGAGTCTGAGCGAGCAGGCGCCTCTCTGACAGGCCATACCGAGCCGTCGTGGCTACAGGTGGCACCTTTTCACACGCATGTGTCGCCCAATCGTACTGGCTGACTTTTCCTTGATGCATCTCTGGCTCCAGACGCTCCCCTGAAGCAGTGCAAACGAACGAAACGAAACAGGGGGGAGGGGGCGAAGGATTTGGGACGTGTGTGGGCTCAGGGGCCCGTGGGGGCAGCCGGAGGCTGCAAGGGATCTGGAGACCCTCCGCAGACCTCTCTGGACGGAGGCGGAGGAGAAGGAGGAGGAGGAGGAGGAGGAGGAGGAGGAGGAGGAGGAGGAGCAGGAGGAGGAGGAGGCGGCCTCTCCTTCGCTCCTCCCCCTGCAGACGAGAGGGGTGGAGAGGAGGAAGAGCCCGTGGCTGGCTTTCTCTCCTGATGCGTCCCTCGCTCCTCCCCCCCAATGGAGGTCCCCCCTCCCTGTCGATCCGTGTCCTGCTTGTCGCGTCGAGGGCGTGGCTTTCTGCCCCCCCGCCCCCGCCGAGGGGGGGGGGCTCCCCACCGCAGGGTCGGGAGAGAACCGCCGCGGCCACGGGGGAGGGGGGCAAGGGGGGGGGGGGAGCGCGAGGGCAGGAGAGGCAGACCCCAACCACGAAGAGAGGGGGGTCGCTGGAGGAGAGACGGGCCCCCGCCGAGGCGGTTCGCCGCGTCCGCCCTCCCAGGGCCGTTCCCCGGCCCAGAGCTGTCCAGTACAGTGCAGTTTGCAGGGGCGCCCTCGAGGGCGCGAAGTCATTCGCACTTCGCGGTTTGGCTCCGATTCCTCCTCATCCTCGTTTTCTCCTTTGGGAGGCGGCGCGAGAGCGCGAAGTTATTCGCACTTCGCGCTTCGCTCAGCGCGAAGCGCGAAGTTGGGAGCCCTTGGTTTTCGGCCTGACCTAAGGAACGATACATAAGGAACGAACCCCCGTTTTTTTCAAGTAAGTCTGGGAAGTCCGAAGGAACACCAGGGGGCTCGCCGCCAAAAAGGGTAGCAGAACGCATGCAAGCCAAAGGAACGACCGAGCCCCGTTTGAAAAGCAAATGTTCCTCTTTTAAGCTGGACTCTGCAGTTGTTGGCTCAAGATGCAGGCCCCGGGGAAGGCCGCAGAGACCAGGACCAGGTCGTCCTCCAGGACCCGTGAGATTCGTCAGGAGCGAGAAGGAGGGGGAGCGAGGGGGAATGGAGGGAGGAAGGCGACGAAGAGAGTGGCAATGAGAGCAACTGCGGAGTGGACAGGGGAGGAGGTAGGCAGAAATTGGACCTTTCAAACGTTCCCTCTGGGGAGGGGCGCGAGGGTCCGAATTCAGGGCAGCTCGAGCCCTGATGATGGACGAGGGAGTTTTCCAGGCAGGCTCCAGGAGCAGACTCCGCTGCTCCGCTTGCTCAGGCCTGCGTCCGTGCCATTGGCCCCCCTGACCCTCCCTATTGTCGGGGGCGACAAAGAGGGGGGTGATGACTAGCGGGGGGGATATCATGGCGGGGGCCATGATATTTCCCCAGATTTCATGGCGCCTCTTCTTATTACATTACGTCCCTGGCCCCCCCGCTGGGCCGCGCACATGCCGCCGGTCATGATTTGCACCCCCCCTCTTGGGCACCCCCTTCTTTGCCGCCCCCGATATTGTCGCCCTCCTGGCATGTCTGGGCCCGCCCATGAGCAAGCGGCAGGGTACACGCGGAAACTTGGAGCGGGGAGCAGCGAGCGCCGACGTTGAAACAGAGCTTCTTGCAGCAGAAACGCCGCGCCTTTGGGGTTTATCTCGCCGTCGGCGGAAGGCGGGCGGGCGGAAGCCGGAGGAAACCCACCAGGTGACCGCCTTCCTCGTCCCCGGCGGCCCCCGCACGGTCCCCGTTACGTGATTCCATTTGCCTCTAAGCGCTTCCGCCTCCCTCTCCTACCCATGGTCGGCGGCGAGCCCAGGAGGGAAGTGAGGAGGCGCGGCCTTCTCGGAAGGCTCGGAAGACCCGGGCCTGCCGAGAAGTGTTCTGCGCCCTCCTGGAAGGCGTAGCAGAAACTTCTCGGAAGGCCGGAGGGCTTCTGAGAAGCCCCGTGACCTTTCGCCGGAGTGACCTTTGGTGCGAGCACATATGGGCCCCCAGATGGCCGAACGCGAAGCGGTAGCAGCGGCTAGCGCGCCTGGATTTAGCCTCCCCGCGGCCCCCCCAAAGCCGCGCACCAAAGGTCACTCTTACCCAGGGTCACTCTTACGTGTAGCCGAGAGAAGGCTTTGTCCCTCTCGCTACCCCCCCCTTGCTCGCCGCCGATCTGGCAGTGGTGGTGGAGCAGCGGCCCTGCAGGGTCTCTAGAGTCCCGCCCGCGCGGGGCGTGGGGCCCGACCCACGTCGGGCACGTACCCTCGACGGGAGGGATGTGCAGGAGCAGTAAAGCATATAGTCGGGGGGGCGATGGCTCGACTGTTTTTGGGCCATGTCTGTCCGGCTATGTTTAGAATGTTACGTCCAACATCCGCCAGTAGGATTAAGTCGGGCCTGTCCCCCTACAGGTGGCTTTTCGACGAAAAATGAAAGTACCCCCAAAATACCTCAAGCATAGTCCAAGAATAGTCTGGGGACTATTTTTTGAATATGTTGCTACCTTTTGGATGTATTTTCTAGGTATGTTTTAAATGTTTCGTCGGAAATCCCCCTGTAGGGGGACAGTCCCGACTTAACTGTCGGAGGACATGCCCGGCCTGGTGCTCGACGGCGCGACAGAGAGGATGCCTCGAGGAGCCGAGAAGGGCCCCCCTCCCGGGCGGCCGCTCTCCCCCGCGTGGAAGGTCGGGCCCGCCCCTCTACAGGAGGAATATTATTGTTGTTGGTCGCGGCCGTGGGCGAAAGCGCACACGGCGTGTTGTAAGTCCGGGGCGCGGGCCTACTAATTGGTAACGGCAAGCAAGAGCCGACAACCTAAACAGCCTAAGCGGACTAAGCGGCGCCTCATGTGAGCTGCAGCTGCGCAGAAAGTTAATGCCTGGGCCGGAAGCCGAGAGCGCCCAGAGCGTCCTTGCAAGGATCAGGAGGAATATTCACAAAGCGTCAGAAAATAGTCAGGGGACAATGTCTTCACGATGTTTCCATATGTTTGGCGCATTTGTTTCGATTTTTTTATGTTCTCCGTCAAAAATATCCACCTGTGGGGGGACGGGCCCGACTGAACCCCACGTCCACCCCCCCCCCCTCCTCGGACCGAGAGGCGGAGGCCCAGCGGGCGGGCGGCGCCTGGTCCCGCGCGGGGCCTCGGAGGGGGGGGGGGGGGGGGAAGGTAGGTACCGCTGCTCTGGGGCAGCGAGAGAGGGGGGGGATGGGCTCACAGTGGCAGCTCATGCCACGCCGCGCTCTGTCTGCTCGCCCACAGGTTGCCCCGGGTTTTTCTCTCGGGTGTTGGCGGTTCTGCCGCGGGAAGGCGTGACGCTCCCACACCAAGAGTCGACGGACGTCCTGGGGCCTCAGGGTTGGGCTTCTCGTGGACGGTTTGTTGTTGCCTTGCCTAGCTCCTGCCAGGTATAAGGGGGGGACGCGTCGACCTCCAAGCGCCCCTTGATCTCGCCGCGAGAAGCCCAGCCCCGACCAGGCACGTGCGGCCCGACCAGGTACGCTCGGATTCGCTATAGCGGGGGCCCACGGCCGATCTGTCGCCGACGCATCGGCGATGACAGGTCGACGCTTCCCCAAAAATGCCAGTCCCCCCTATGCATTGCCTCGGCCCCCTCAAGCCGATTCGCGAACGGCCCTTCTCTGTACAGGCATGCAGCGCCGCGATTCGGGAGAGGGCACCTCGAGTCCGGGCTGCGTGTGGACGGATCCGAGCTGCATCTCCCAGTCGCGTGGCCGTCTGCGGCTTCGGAGAAGGCCTGCAAGGTCTCCTTGGCAGGCGCGCAGGCGTCTGAGCATCCCCGCCGCCTTCTGCGAGGGCCTGCCCCCATCCCACTTCCGCGGCTCGCCGCCGGTCCCGGCAGCATCCGGACCTCTCCTGCCGGGCACCCGTGCGGCTCCCTGGACATGCGACGTCCCGACTTTCTGCACGCACGGAATGGGTACTGAAAGAATGGGTACAATGCCCAACAGCGGAACAGGGCTCGCTGTCCACGCCGCCGCGGCCTGTGTCCAATCGAGACAGGAGGCCGCCTGCCCAACAGCGGCCGCTATTGGTTTGGGACAGCATTTGCTGTTGGGCATTGTACCCATTCTTTCGGTACCCATTTCGGGCGTCCAAAGACTTTTGTCCGTGCGCGGTCCCCGGAGGTCCCGACCAATTCCCTGGGGCTGGTGTTTCGTCCCGAGCCGGTTTTGACGGCGCCTGGGCCCGAAAAAGGGCCCGCAGAGGCAGAAGATTGATAGAAGCCTTGCGATTCGCGCGTGAGCCGATGTTGGTAAGCACGCTGCCCACTTGCCTCTCCCTCCCCTCCGTCCTTCCTCTCCTCCGCGGCCACATGCAGAAGCTTGTGGGGACGCGCCCTTGCCAGGCACAGTTCCCCATTCCCCTGCACCGGCCATTGTGCACTCAGGACCGCTTCGCGGAGGTGTTATACGCCATGGCACAAGAAGAGCGAGACGAACACCCGCCTTGATGTCGTCCAGGACGGTGGGTGCATGTCTGGGTCGTTGGGCCCTCCCCCTCTGCGGCCGTCCTTTCGCCTCTCTCTCTCTCTCTCTCTCTCTCTCCCCCCCCCTCCTGCATGCGGGCCAACTCGCGACGGCGTGCCGCAGTCTTGCACACGCGCGCGTGCGGATTGCCTCTGCCGCGCTGCGACGCACAGACGTCTGGGCCGCACGCCCGCCCGAGGTCCGGCGGAAGGGCATCGGCAAGCACCCCGACTGGTACGGCGGGCTGACGCCGAGCTCGACGATCGAGGAGGCCGCGCCGCCCCTCCCGGGGGGGGGCCTGCCGCGGGCGCCACTAGCGGCGGAGGGCCCCCAGTGGCCCGGGCGCCTCCCCCAGAGCCCAGAGGGGTGCGGGGAGCGCACCGCGTGGTGCGTCCGTCGGTGGAGTCTCGAGGTCGCCGCGCGGTCTCGGGGCCGCGGGCCCTTCGCCGACTCGGCACCGCTCGGACCTCTGCACTCTTTCGCGGCGAGGGCCACCGAGGAGCATGCTCGATCCGCTGGCCAAGCAAGCATGCGCACGAGACTGAGAGCCGCACGAGGCATGAGCGTCCGAGCGATGGCAAGGTGGGGGTGTGGGGTCGCCGTGAGGTCTGGGGGCCGCGGGCCCTGCTCCGCAGTGGGAGCAGTCCCGCAATCGTGGGATCACCGCTTCCTCGCATTGCGTCCGCAGTGCGTCCAAAGAGTTGCCCCTCTCGCGCTCTTCGCCCACGCTAGGGGAGCAAAAGATGGCATAAACATAAGCACTCGGAGGTCCGCGCAGATTTCTCGGATCGGCGCTGGGGCCCCCCGGCGGCGCCTCCGGCGGCGCCCCTGGCGCGCTCCGCGCGCCAGGGAGCGGGGTCCAGCGCCGATCCGAGAAATCCGCGCGGACCTCCGAGTGTTTATGTTGATGCCACTGTTTGTTCCCCTATATGGACGCACGGCTCAGCGGCGGTGGTGGTGGTGGGCCCCCCTCCGAGGACGGCTCGGGGCGACCCGGGCCGCCGAGATCCCCAAGGCCGCGCGGGGAGGCCTCCGCGGAGGTCGAGGCCCCCGCGCGGCCCGGCGCCGCACGGCTCTCATGGGGCCTCCCCCCGGAGAACCCGCTGCGCCCTCGCGGCGGCGAGCCGGGCCAGACAGCCGGCGTTCCGAGGCGGGCGGATCGAGCCGGCGGTCGCAGGCGGCGTCGCGCCCCCCGGGCCCCCGACCGCTTGCATCAGCAGGCCGCCCAGGGGAGGACCGGGGAGGAGGGAGGCTCGGGGAGATGCGCTCCTCGAGCGCGGGATCGACCTCAGAGTTCATTTACCCCATTTGTGGATTTCCTCGTCGAGAGCACGGACAAGACGTGGAATGCTTGCGCACATCTGCGGAGCATATTCTGCGTCCTGTGCGACGACTCGACGGGAAAATGAAGTTTGGGGTGCATAAGTTCTGTGGTCCATCCCCTGTCCGAACTGCCAGGGGTAAGTCGGGCCCGTCCCTCTACGGGAGGAATATTCAAAAATAGTCAAAGAATAGTCTGGGAACTATTTTTGAGCATTTTTTGCAGTTTTGGAGCATGTTTTGCATATTTTCTAGACTAAACTTCGTCGAGAATCCCCCTGGAGGGGGACAGGCCCGACCTAATGCCAAGGGCACCAGCCCGAGAGGGGCGGCCAGCCTGGAACGGTCGAGTGGCGGGTGAGCGGGCGGGTGCGGGGGAGCGGGCGAGGGGCCAGAGGCCGACGAGCTGTCCGGAGGCGGCCAGCCCTGGTGCGCTGGGCAGTCGCAATACGCTTGTGGAAATCGATTCGTGGAGAGGACGCATGCTGCTACGCAATTTCCAGATATCTACAAGAAATTTCAAACATTTCTTACATATGTAAAACACATGGTCGAAACATTTGTTTGGAACATGTTTTACACATTTTAAACACATCTTTGATTCAATGTAGGATTGTTAGAGTGTCCACTGTCATGGCATCCACAACAGAAAGCCAGAATGGCCGCCGATGCCGGGGCGCGGGGCCCCCGAATTGCTCGAATGCTACCCCCCCCCGTCCCCGAAAGGACGGAGCGCTGGGGCGTGGGGGGCCCAAGGAGATTCCGAGGGGGGCCAAAAACACATTCACACAAACACACACACACACACACCTGAGTACACTGTTACTCCCCTCACAGTAGAACATGATCGAACTTGCTTTTAGGAGCCCCATGGTGTCTCTTGCGTCTCTCCTCGCGGCCGCGCCGCTCCTCTCCTCCTCCCTGCTCCGTTCGTGCTTCAGCTCTGATTGAGTGCACCATTACCTCGCTCTTTTTCCTTATAGGTAACTTCTCCCTTTCACACCCCGAGGCAAGTGTTTAGGGCTGGCTGGGAGTTTCGCTTGAGACCTCCTCACCACTCATGACCTTGAAGCTTAAACATTGGCAACCGTTTCACAGATGGAGGGCGGGTGGTTTTCAAAATGTGGCTCTCGCCTAAGCACCGCGCACATTCGTTTTAACAAATTGCAAGAATTCCACGGATTGAGAGCGGTTCCTTTTCAAAATGTTGCTCTCGTTTGATCGTTGCGCGCATTCGTTTAAAGAAATTGCAAGGGCTTCACGGATTGAGGGCGACCCGTTTTCAACATGTGGTTCTCGTTTAAACGTTGCGCACATTCGTTTAAAGAAGTTGTAAGAGTTTCACATGTTGAGGGCGTGAGGGCGGTTCCTTTTCACAATGTGGTCCTCGCTTTAGCGCCGCGCCTATTCGTTGTTGAAAAATACCATAGAGTTCATGTATTATCATGATGAACGTACCATAAATTGTGTTTTGGAAAGGTTAAGGATCATGCGGATGCAACAGTTACGTTGGCTCGCAGTGTTGAAGTCCCAAGGGTAGCGTTATGGCAAGATTCAGGCTCGTCCAGGCGCAACAGTCAGGTAGATCCGTGGCGTTGGAATCCGGGGCATTATGTTTTGGCATACTTCAGGATATTCACACGGTTGTCTTCCGACGGATCAGTTCCCCCAGTGGAGATGCACCGTTGCAGGAGCTTGTGAAGAGGGAGGTTGGAGGGAGGGTTCGTTCCAACACCGTTGATGACTCTTGGGGTACTGGTCCTCCTCCTCCTCCTCCTCCTCCTCCTCCTGTCTCCTCCTCCTCCTCCTCCTCCTCCTCCTCCTCCTCCTCCTCCTCCTCCTCCCCCTCCTCCTCCTGTCTCCTCCCGGGCCTCAATCCTCCCTCTCCCACTTTGGGCAGTCTTGGGCCCTCTCTGGTTCCGGGAAAAGTTCGGCGACGATCGCCCAAATGTGTGTGCGGGGGCACGCGGCACAGCCCGATCCTTGAGGCCCCGAGTCCAGAGTCCTGAATGGTCAGCGTTGAGAGCACCCAGAGGAGGAGGAGGAGGAGGAGGAGGAGGAGGAGGAGGAGGAGGAGGAGGAGGAGGAAGACCCAAAATAGCCAGTGGGGGTCGCGTGTCCCCGCAGACATTGGAGCTTGTCGCTGGACACTCCCCCAGGCCGATGGGCCCGTTACAGTCCAGGAGGGCGTCATGATGGCCCAAGAGCGCCCCGAGGCGCCCGAAAATGGCATCAAGGCGGCCCAGGAGGCTTCACGCCGCTGAAGAGTGTCCCAAGATGGCCCCCACGAGGCCAACATCGTCCAAATCTTCTGGGTGCTTGCATTTTTGGGCGCCAGCGTCAGTTCTGATGTTTGAGCGTCCAAGACGGCCCAAGAGGGCCCCACGACCGCCCCAAGACGTCTCGAGAGTCGCCCAACAGGACCCCAGCAGGTTTGCGCAAGATAGACCCCCAGCATGGCCCCAAGAGAGGCCCAGAAGGGAGACCACGAACCGACATTTCGAGCCCTTCCCCCCAAGATGACCCCATATCTCCCCGAAGCCATGAATAACCCCCCCTGAGGGGCCCACAAGAGACTTCCAGAGGGCTTCCGAGAGGCCCTGGGAGGCCCCTGAGGAGTCCCTAAGGGACCTCCAAGAACCATCCAAGAGGTAACCCCAGAGACCCCGAGAGGCATCCATCAAAAAGTGGCCCCTTGCAAAGAAACCTCTGACCCAGAATCCATGCAAGGTGGCGGGCTGGGCCGAAGGTAATAAGATACTACACAGGAGTCATGACTGAATATTTCAAGAACATGATAGAAAAACTTCAACTCGTGCATCCAGGCACTGGCGGACTAGTCATGAGCGAACAACCAGACAGACTTACCGATGCGGCCCCCAGATTTCTCGGGGTGGGATTCCTGTGGGGGCTATGGGTGTGTGCGTGTGTGTTGTCGGATGAGGGTCTGCGCTCGAACGGAGCCCCCGCCCCCGGGTCCGAGAATTGGAGCGACCTCGAATGTAATTGCAGATACCCCATGTTAGCACTATGTCCTCGGAAGCCACGTGGGGAAGGGGCGCCCAGACCAGTCAAATTCTTCAGAGAACTTCGACAGGCCCATCAAAGTCTTTCCTTACCTAAGGTTAAAAAAGGACCCCAACTGCAAACACTGATTGGGACATAGCACCCAGATGGACGTCGTCGACCACTCCCGGGCGAGCCTCTCAACGCTGGACGTACACGCCGAACGGTGCACGAAACAAGCGAGTGCCCCCTAAACGTTCTCTTGGGATCGAACTTGACAGTAGAGTACTTTGTGCGTGCCATGCGCAAAAGCCAGTCATGTCGGGGAACGGAACGGGGCCTGCGTTGACGAATATCTTCGCCGTATAGGGAGGCAAGTGCTCAAGCGAGGCAGGCAGGGGCGGCGAGACTCGTAGCCGTGACAGCATCAATCGCCTCGTTGATTGCAAAGAGCACGATGGGGACGGCAGTCGCCGAGAGAGCACGCCCTTCGAGCGGGAGGCTCGCGTGGCGCGGACATCTCGGCGGCACGCTCGCCACGCGCTGCGGCAGCCGCGGCGTCAGCCGTCGCCGTCCGATGGCGCGACCCGAAGAGCGGTTCTCGGGCGATGGTGGCCGCTCGCGCTCTGGTGGACAGGGCTGCCAGGCCTGGCAGTTCTCACCCCTGGCGCGTCGCGCTCTTCTGTGGCGAGCGCGCGGCCCTGGAATCCGGTTGGCGGTGCCGGCGCTTGGTGAGCCCAGTGGTTGGACACCGCAGGCTGCTCGCAGGAGGGGCAGAGTTCCGTCTGTGCGCGGATGGCCTCGACCGCGTTTGCTTGGTCGAGATACAGTCGGGGCCCTGAAGAAGGAACCCTTTTCGTTGGGGAGGGGCTCCGCGTTCCTAAGTGTTTCGCAGCTTGCCTCAGGTTTTCCTTATGATTTCGACGGGGAATCTAAGTTTAACTTATGGGAAAAGGGGCCTCGCTCCTTATTTAGGGTTCCTTAGGTCAAGGCCCCGGCTGTAGGCGCATTCATCTGGTCGGTTCCGATTACTTTGCTGGGTTGGTTCTTCCATGATTTTGCGTCGGGGGTGGGGAGTGTTGGATGACTTGAAGAGCTCGGGTCGCGCGGGCCGTTGACGAAGAATGCGAGATTGGCATAGTCGAGTCTCTCACTGCCGGAGTTTGATTCCATGCGAATGCGCAAACATGTATACATCTTACAGTGGCAACCGTATCGCAAGTGATCGGCTTCAGGAAATAAGCGGGATCCTACGGCGGTAGCAGTTGGTATATCGTCTTAGCCCTTTGCCAGTCCAGGGCTAAGCAATCCGCGTGGCAGGATGGTGTTGCATGCGAAGATGATGTTGGCGTTGCATGCGGCCCCAGATTCTTGCCATCGTCGTCATACCTTTCACTGACAAACATTTGGGCATTAACCTGAATCCGATCATTGTGCCGGACAATTGCCCAGTGAGTTGAGTATGTAACCCGTGTCAACCAGGAATTCGAGCAGGTGAACTACATTACCTCCAGGACGAGGATGGAAAAGGGGAGGCTGATGGGGCCCAGCCCCAGCCCCTGGCCACTGCCCAGACTTCCGATGCCGTGACTTGTCCAGGGCAGGGCCCCCCAGGGATCTCTTGGCCCCTCCCCGGGTCGGGGAAGCGTAGGGCTCGAGTAAGCCGGGACCCGGGCTTGCCGACGTTCTGTTCGGGGAGCCCGCGTCCAGTTCCAGACTGGGTCTCGCCACTTTTGTGGATGGCCCCCGTCAGGCCAACCCGGAACCCCCCGCACCCGAGGCTTACGTCTCCCCGACGGAGGCCGGCGGCTTTCCCCAGGCCGTGCTTGGTGATGGGCCCCGGGTCCGGAGGTGGCCCCGCCCCCGGAGGCAGCAGGGTGTGAGAAGTCTCCGCCGTGGCTCTCTGGCCAGGACGTGGGAGGTGCGGTCCTCCACCTCCACCTCCTCCCTTTCCTCCTCCTCCTCCTCCTCCTCCTCCTCCTCCCCTCCTCCTCCTCCTCCTCCTCCTCCTCCTCCTCCTCCTCCTCCTGCAACGAGGAGGCCCCTACAGGCCCGAAGCGTGCCCCACAGCGCGCCGGGCCCTGGATCCTCGAGCGCGCCGGCCCACAGTCTCTTGCGCTCGCTGCTCTCGCTGCGCCCCAGGCGCTGCCGAGGCCTCTTTTGGTACTTCCAGAGGCGCGGCGCCCGCCAACAAAAGACAAGAACACCGATTTGTGGACATACCTTCACATGATATATATATATATATATATATATATATATATGTATGCACACCCATATGTATGAGTGTCTGTCTGTGTGACTATGCCCAGATCGTCACAAAACACGCCGCCATCGAAGTGGCCTCTAAATGTCCCTGGAGGTCTCCGGAGTCCTCCAGGGGTTTCCACGGTCGGTCGGAGTCGGAGTCGCCGGCCGGGGGCAGCCTATAGAGGTAGGCGCAGGCAAGCAGATCAGCGTGTCTGCGCGGCCGCTGAAAAAATCAGAATCAGTTGTTGTGCAGCAGGAAGGGTGGCAAAGGCAAGGACGGCAAGGGGGGGGAGGAAGTGGGCGACAACGCAGGGACGCGAGGAAGGGAGAGGGCAAGAACAGGAAGGACAGCCCCAGGCAAGGGGAGAGAGGAGAGAGGGGAGACGCGGGCTCCTCCTGTCCGGGGGCCACAAGAGCCACAAGCACAACCACAACCAAGTGGATTTTGCGGGAGGGCCCCTCGGGGAAGAACCCACCGACTTCGACACGAACAGTTTGGTTGTGGTTTTGGTCGAGTTGGCCGTCCCGTGGCGCCACATCGACCACAACCAGCACCAGGTTGGCTTCTGTGTTCTGACGTTTGTTGGCATGTGCAGGACATCTCCCAGGGTGTGTCCTCGATGTGGTTGTGGTCGCTTGATGTTCCCGCAGCGGGGGCTCGGGTGGGGCTAGGACGAGGATAAATCTGTTCCAGCGCGTTCTGGAACGCTCCCCGAGAAGGCCGCGGCGCCCGAGGTATCCTCCAGAGCCTCCAGATCTCAGAGAGTCTCGAGTTATCCGTACCCCAGGCAGGGCGTGAGGTGCCGCTCATCGGGTGCGCAGGAGGGGGGGGGGGGGGGCCAGGAACAGGCCCCAGACGAGATTGCTGGGCCGATTCGCCACCACCACTACCACAGGTAGGAGAGGGAGGAGGAAGGTGAGGAGCAGGGGGAGGGGGAGGCGGAGGAGGAGGAGGAGGAGGAGGAGGAGGAGGAGGAGGCGGAGGAGGAGGGGGAGAAGGAGGAGGAGGAAGAGGAGGAGGAGGAGGAGGAGGAGGAGGAGGAGGAGGAGGAGGAGGAGGCCTGGCCGCGTCTTGGGGGCCCCATTGATCCCCGCGGCCCCGCGGGCCGCGCGCCGCGCCCGCCTCCCCGCGAGGTGCAGCGGCACGTCGCCGGCGAAGTGGACTCCCCCTGCCCGGTGCCCTGCGCGCCCGGCCAGGAGGCCCCCCGGGGGGCGGGGTCCCCGCCCGGGGAGCGGCCGTGGGTCCGGCGGGCAAGAAATACTCGGGTCGGGCGAAAGGGGGGGGTTGGGAAAGGGGGGGTTACGAAATCTGCTGCATGTAGCTGGTTTCGGCCCCGCCGCCGGGCCCATTCCTCGATGCATGGCCGCCTCCGGCGCCGGGAGGCGCCGGGAAAATCAGCTACGTGAGCTGATTCTCAAACCCCCCCTTTGCTATCCCCCCCTTTCGCCCGACCCGAAACACAGAGACACAATGAATCGGCGATTCCCCAGAAGATAGGGGAAAGGATCGGAAATAATGGGGGGGGAGACAAAAAGCAAGAAGATATGGGAAGATATAGGGGGAATCTTTTTGTGTGTGTGGATTGACTTGCGTGTGTCCCAGGGCCCCCTCAGTTGGGTGGGGCCGCTGCAGGCAGGGCCTCGGCAGAGGCAGACCGCCAGCGCACGGGTCGGTAGGACCGGAACTCGGCGGCGAGCCAGGGGTCACCACCCAGCAGAGCACCCCAGCCCAACCCGAAGGCCTCAAGTCAGGAGGGACAAAAACACAGACACATTTAATCGTCGATTCCCCAGAACAGATGGGAAAATGTGGGAAGTGGGGGGGAAGACAAAAACCCAGAACATATGGGAAAATAGGGGGCATCGTTTTATTTGTGTGTATTTATTTGTGTGTCCCAGGGCCCCTTCATCAAGGTGGTGCCCTTCATTTCCGGGGGGGGGCGGGTTCGGGGAACGTTGAGAAAAACGGAGCCCTTGCCCCCCCCAACCCGAAATTCGGGTTTTCGGGTTGGGGTTGGGGTGGTCTGGTAGGTAGTCAAGGGGGGGGAGGAGGTCAGAAAGGGCGGGCCTTTTCAGACGGCTCGGAGATCCCCCCAGCCTTCTGAGTTTCTAGGCCTTTCCCAACAACGCCAAACAACTTCTCAGACGGCGCGAGGGCTTCTGAGAAGTCCGGCCGCCTTCTGAGAAGGCCTTCTCTTCTCATTTCCCCCCTCGCTCGCCGCCAAGAAACGGGCACTCGTAGGAGGAAGAGGTACCCATACCCCTGCCTTTCCCTAGTTGTTGTTCCCCTTGTTTGGCGCTCCTGGGCGGCCCTCGTCGCCACCGCTGGATTCGCCTCGAAATTCTAGTCAGAACGCACCCTGGGAGCGGTACGAAAGAATGGTTACGAAGACCGACATCGAAGCAGACAAAAAGGCAGAAACATAGTCATCCCAGTGCGACCCTACCTAGGAGTTGGAGCATCTAGGAAAGCAACATCTACATCTACACCGACAGCTACATTAACATATACACCTTCATCTACATCTACATCAACATCAACAGCGAGACTCACATCTACATCTACATCCACACCTACATATACACCTACATCTACATCTACATATACATATACACCGATATCCACATACACACCTACACCTACATCTGCATCTACATCTACACGTTCGCATTGGTGTTGCTTTTGCGTGGTATGCCATATTATGCTATGCTATGATATACTCTGCTATGCTTGGCTATGTTATGCTATGCTATGCTACGATGTGCTAATGCTGCGCTAAGCTAAGCTAAGGTAAGCTAAACTATTATTCGACATGCTATGACAGGATATGTTATGATACGCTATACTATGTTATGATATGATGTGCTGCGTTATGCTATGCTAGGCTCAGCTATGCTATGATATGATATGATGCGCTATGCTCTGCTGTGCCATGCTATGCTGCGCTCTGCTATGCTATGCTGTGCTGTGCTCTACTATGGTATGCTGCGCCGTGCTATGCTAAGCGATGCTATGCTATGATATGCGATGCTATGCTGCGCTATGCTATGCTATGACATGCTATGATATGCAGAGCCGTGCGATGCTATGCTATGATGTGCTATGATATGTTTGGCTATGCGATGATATGCTATACTGTGCTAGGGCTGCGCTGCGCTATGCTGCGTTGCGCTAAGCTACGGTAAACTATGCTAAGCTAAGCTAGGCTAGGCTCAGCGAAACTAAGGTTAAGCCAAGCTTAGCGAAGTTAAGCTAAGCCTAGCTAAGCTAAGCTAAGCTAAGCTAAGCTAAGCTAAGCTAAGCTAAGCTAAGCTAAGCTAGGCTACGCAAAACGGGGGATCCTGGGGGAACCGCGGGGCGGATGCCGGGGGAACCGCCCGGGGCGGGGAGCACTGCCTGGCCCGTTAAGCCCACAGGGTAAGAACCCTTCTAGGCAGATCCTAGGTAGGGAAATCGTCGACGGTCCGCGCGGGTTTCTTGGATCGGGGCTGGGCCCCCCCCTGGCGGCGCCTCCGGCGTCGCCCCTCGCTCCGCGCGCCCGGGGAGGGGTGGCCAGCTTAGATCCAAGAGATCCGCGTGGAGCATCGGCAGTCTTGGCTTATGCAGTTGTTCTTCATCTAAGACCTCCAGCGCATTTGATCCGTGCGATCGAAGCGGGTACGAGAGAACGGGCACGAATGAAGGCCGACAGCGGCTCCTCCTCATTCTGGACAGCACGCGTCGTCGGTGTCCACTCGAGGCAGGAGGCTCCCGCAGCGCCCCTGCAGATGCAGAGCTTCGCTGCCCTGCCTGCCACGCCCACGGTGAAGCGCAACGGGTGCCGTGCTCAAGACGTTCGTGGCAACACGGTCGGCCCAACGTGTTCGCCCACGTTTGAGTTCCGCGTCAACACGCTACGGGTTGCGTGTGGCGTATCGGGGCAGCTGACACCCGGACCTCCAGCGCATCGGAGATCCAGCACGGAGGCTCATCGTCCTCGTCGGCCCCTGGGCGCCAGGCCCCGGGGGCGCCGAGAAACGAATGACACTCCGGAGCCAGAGCTGGCTCAAAAGGAGAGGGCGACGATCTCTGTACATCTCTCCACGCTTCCCTGGCCAGGCCCGTCCTGACCCCGCCAGCGTCGTATACGCCACGCCCTCCTGGCTCGGCCAGGAGGGCGTACACTCAGCCCCTGGGTTCAGGATGGGCCCGGTGCAGGGCGCCGTCGGGACTTCCCGGGGGGGGGGCCGCATGGAAACCGGCGAGCATCGGGCCCCTCTGCCAGGCCCTCCTGCCCTCGAGAGGACGTCGCCTCGCAGGCCCCGCGGGAGGAGGCGAGGCGCGGCCGAGGGGCCCCCCCCCCCCTGGCGCCTGCCGGGGAGCCCGGCCCCCTCCTGCCCCGCCCCCCGCTGCCGCTCGAGGGGTCGATCCCGGGGCGGTCGCCGCCCCGCACGGGCCCGCCGTGGCCCGGTGGCTGCGCTGGCGCGGGCGCCGCGCGACGGAGCACAGCGGCGGCGCCCGCGGGCGGCGGGGCCTCCGGGGGAGCACAGTTGGGGGGCAGCACGGGCATGCGCCGCCAGCCTCCCGATTCGCACCTCGGCCGTTGAGCCCATCTACTCCTCTCTTCTCCCTCTCCCCGCCTCCAGCCCATCTCACATCATCATCTCTGGGCTCCTGGTGCCCATCGCGAGACCGTTTTGCCCCGATCGGAAAATGCCTATAACGCGGAAGACCCTGAAGTTGCAGCGGGAGGACCCCTCACACCCAATCCTCACGGGGGAGGGGGGCAATGCGTCCGGCGCCGAATGATTCATCGAATGGCCTTCGGCCCATCTTGCCACCGTGCCTGCGTTACCGTGTTGGGGCCCTCTTGGAGCAGTGCTTCCGGCTCTGAATGATTCATCGAATGGCCTTCGGCCCATCCTGCCACCGTGCCTGGGTTACCGGTTTGGTGCCCTCTTGGCTCCGAAAAAGTCAAGCGACAAGTCGCGCCAAGCCGCGCCAAGCCCCAGGAGTTCGGCAATTTGGGGTCTGGGCCCCTTATACCTCCCAGGATCGAGGACTGAGTGACTGAGGCTCAGGGGGTTGGGCAAAGAACCTGAGGACACGCCCACTCCGTGCCCAACGTCACAGCGGCGGAGTATTATTCCCCTTCGGTATTGTGACCCCAGCAGGCGTTTTTGTTTTGTTGCTTGCTGTGATTCGTGTGATATCGTGATGTTGAGGGACGTGGCTCCCCCGCGATCTGGGGCCGCTCAAACAGTTGCTAGCATGGGCAGTTGCTACTCACATGTTGTTTCCGAAGCTGACAGGCTCCGGAACCAAGAGCAATAATGTCCATGAAATGCATTCTGGGAGGAGCGTTTACAGGCATGTGCTGAGGCAAGGCGGCCAACCATGGTGAACACAGAGACCTCCAGGAGCCTTCTGTCGCCACCCTGATTGGTAGCTGGATCGCCGTACATGGTCAACGAGGACAGGAACAACTCATCCAGGCCTTCGCGTTTTTGCTCGCTCGGTCGGAGGCCTCGTGGGGCCCTAGTGGGTTTAAGTCGGGCCTATCCCTCTACGGGGTGGGAATATCCAAAAATAGTCAAAGAATAATCAGGGGACGATTTTTTGACCATTTTTGAATATTGTTCTGTATTGTTTGTCTGTTTTTTGCTTTTCATCCAAAATCCCCCCGTAGGGGGACAGGCCCGACCTGATGCTGGGTGCAGTTCGGACGCGCTTGGCGCTGCACTGGGCTCTGGTGGGGGCACCATCGGGGCCATGCTTCGAGCCTCGCGGGCCCTCTTGGGCCCGTCCTGGAGGTCATCGATCAGCAAGGAGTCAGGAGGGGAAAAAACACCGACTAAATTAATCGTCGACTCCCAGGAAAATATTGAAAAATATGGGAACTGGGTGAGGAATACAAGAAATCGAAAATATGGGAAGATATGGGAAATCCTGTTATTTGCGTGTATTTATTTGTGTGTCCCAGGGCCCCTTCAAGGAGGCCGAACCAATTGCCCCCCCCCCTCCCCGTCGGAGGCTGAAGCAACGTCTCTTGGGTCCTTGGAGGCCCTCCTGGGGTGCTCTGGAGACTGTCTTGGAGCCTTCCTGGCCCCCTCTCGGGGCTATCTGTCGTGGGCGATCTTGCAGATATCGCAGAGGCGTCCTTGGCAGGCTCCGTGGCTACTTGGAGCCATATTTTGGCTCTCTTGGGTCTTATTGGAGA